GAAATATCTGCCTTCTAAGGATCATGTCCTAAAAGATAAAATGGATGATAGGCAAAGAAAAGGAGAAAATGAAATGTCAGAATGCAGAGGTCACTGTGATAAGTATACTGGATTAGGGGTGCAAACCAGATTAATTTCAACAAGTACATCTTTTATAGTCTGAATCAACCTGAAAGAAAAATACGTGCAAAATTGGGGACCTGAGGTCTCTCACTTTTAATTCTCCCTCATTAGATCCTATTTTGTCATTGTTCATGACTTGGGTAAAAGGTTCTTTTTGTTTCCACCTAAGCCATTGAACTTAAGACATACTCTTAGTGTTTTCTCTGGTTTGTTATATTTTGTGTCAGGAATAATCTCTGGAGTCGTGATAGATAATTTTTGGTCAGTAAAGTAGATATTTTTGAGGTAGTTTGCTATGTAGATGTGAATGAAAATCCAGGACATGGGACTTACACCTTTATCTGTTTTGAAGTTACCTGTAGTGGAGTCATTCAGATCATAGTGGTGATAGAGGAAGCAGAGAGGCAGAACCCAGATTAAGTGATCTCAGTATTTCTTTAATACTTGATTTAAGAGCAAAGGATTTAGTTGGGGATCATATTTTTACATCTAGCTGAAAATGTGTAGTATATTTCCTGAGTATGAGCAATATATCAATTTAAAGTTTACTTCTTTAAGGCCATGAATTCTAAACGCTCTTTCAAACGCTAAAAATGATTGCCACATTTATCTTCTTGTATGTAACTTGGTGCCTGAAGCACATTTAAATTTGAGAACCCACATGAATTAATATTTCTCTATATTGTTAATGTTGTTTGAAAATTCAGCACAAGTTTGTTTCTTCTAGATTAATAACTGCCTCTTAGGGTGATAACAAGGGATTTATTAAAATTATGTAGCATTGAAGGTTTCTTTGGTATCTAAGTTTAGACTGGGGAAGTTTAGAATGAGTACAGTTTTTTTTTTAAGTTGGTAATTTGATTTGGTGTTCACAATAATGTGTAAATTAGATTATATTTTCACTCATTTGCTAACTTTGTTCTGAGTTTAGAGATGTTAATAAGTTTATTGTGAGTTGGCACCTCATGAATGCATAAGCTTTTATCACATTCGGTTTATATTACCTGTTTTCCTTTAAGGATCAACCTTGAAACAATGATATTAATTAGGCTTATGCCAACCTAGATGTAATTTGCATGTGTTGCATTAGGGAAAACATTGAGTTTTCTGATACAGCAGTGGAAATGCTGGCATGGAAGTTAGGATACCTGGGATGGATTACTTTACCTTTTTGGATCTTATTTTCCTGTTCTGCAAGTTGCAGGTTTTAGACTACATAGGCTCGAGGACCAGTTCAGGACAAATGTTCTAAGACTTTTTGATTCTAAAATTGTTTGTAATAGCTACTACAAAGCAGAAGTAATTAACTTGCTTTTATTTCTTGAGTTCTTTATTTCTCATGCATCTGTTAAAGAAATCACATACCTGTTAAAGCTCAGTGGAAGTTTTTGATTTATTTAGTGGTATAATATCTATGCTAATATTTTAAGCAGTGCTTGCTTGCTTTCAAAAGAAATAAAAGTATTTTTCCTGATTCTGTGCTCATTGTTAAAGAATTGGGGGGAAATGCATAAAGAAGAAAATAAAAATCATCTCCACATTTTCTCTGTATTTTATATATACATATACATAGATACATACATATATACAAATTTACATGTATACATAGCTATTATATAATTTTGTAGCCTTTTTTCACTTGATTAAAAAATGAGTATAGCTTAATTATAACAAACATTTTAATAGTATCTTAATACATTGTGTGGCTATTACATAAGCCTCTGCTTACCTCTTCATTCTCACCTTAAAATTTTTTCCCTTTGTTAGTTTTCAAAGCAATATTTTGGTACTCTGTCATTCCTCAAAAGTGAATGTGATGTTTTAAACTTTTTTATTTGAACTCCTGACCTCTGCCCCCTCCTTCCCTGCACCACTCCACCCCTACTGTCATCGCTCTGTCCTGTCCCACCTCCAACTTCTGTCCCCTTTCTGAACCTCTGCCCAACCTTTCCCCAACCTCTGGCTATTCCCTCACCTACATTTCATCTGCTTCCTCTCTACTGGCTCTTTTCTCTCAGCTTATCGGCAGGCTTGCCAATCTTTAAAACACAAAAACTCTGAAAGAACCTCTTGATGTATGTTCTATTCTGAGTTTTTGAAGGAGTAGACCATGTTTCTTGTCTCTACTCTCTTACCTCTGTTCTCTTAGTCTCCTGTCATCTCTTTTCTGCCTTCATAGTTTTTTCAAATAGCTATCTTTAAGCTCACCAGTAACCTTCTGATTGTCAAATATTGCACCCATCCTCGAGGCCTTGTCCTGTGTGCCCTTTCTGCCCCATCTCACATACTGTTCATTTCTTCCTTTTAAAATTACTTTGTAATTTAAAAAATGTTTATTTTAGAAAACTTAGAAGTAAAATAAATCACCACTGTTTGCTGTATTACATAGTTTTTCTTGACATTCTCTCATCCCTTCATTTCCATGAAACAATTTTCTTCTGCTATATTTCTTTTCTTTCTCTTCTCATTCCTCAGTTTATTGGTAAACTTTCTTTCTCCACCTGTCCTTTAAATAGTGGCCATTCTCCATTGTTCTGTCCTTGGCTTTATATTCTTCTAACTCTATACCTTATCCTTGGATATTTTCATAATGGTCTTTAAAAAAAAAATTGATACATGTACATACACAGTAAAATGTACAGTACACATGGTAAATTTCAGAGCCTATAATTTTTACACAAAGTAATTTTTTTCTAACTTCTCCCTAGAGTAAACCACTGGTATATCCTAGAGAGATTATATGCATATGCTAGTGTGTGTGTGTGTGTATTATATGTATATATTTATATATTATTTATTATTCATTTCAAATTATTTCTATATAAATGACAGTATACCCTTCATACTGATTTACATCTTTTTCTACCTATTAGGAGAAAAAGGAGATCATTTTATATCTGTATCTAGAGATCTATTATTACATTGTTTTTCATCTGTATTCCCTTTTCCCCTACCACACAACATTTTTTTTTCACGAAATGTCACCACAACTGATGCAAAGGATTTTTCTACCTTGTCCATCAATTTTTTTAAAAAAATTTATTTATTTAAATTAGTTTCAAGTATACAGTACGTTGGTTAGACATCTAATATTGTTCATAAGACGATCCCCCCAATTGCTGCCTCCCTCCCCTGGCCCTCCACCTAGCATCCTATTAATGCTAACTGCATCCCTTCTGCAGTGCTCCCCATCCCCTAACTGCATTCCTTCTGCAGTGCTCCCCATCCCCGCCACTACACAACATTTTATGTTGAAAAATGCAAACTTACAGAAAGGTTTTAAAAAAATACAATTAATAGTCACCTGTATCTATACCTACCTTTCTTATTTCTCTATTAAATGAATCATTTGAAAGTGAAATTATAAGTCTTGTGACAGTATATTCCAAAATTATTCAATGTTTTTTCTAATCATATATTATCACAATCCCTTTATTACACCCAAGAAATTTAAGATCAGTGTGGTATTATTTAATGTAAAGTCTCTATTTAAGTTTCCACAATTGACCCAAATGTCCTTCCTGGTATTTTTTCCTCTATCTAATCTAGAGACCAGTCAAGAGTGAAGGCTTGCACTTGGTTGTCATAGGCCTCTTTTTCATTTCACTACTATTTAAATAGATGACTACTAACTAGATCTTTAGGTCAGATCCTTTCCTGAAGCAGACTTAAATATCTTCTAAAATATAATTATTTGAATGTCCCACTACCAACTCCAAAAAAGCATGTCCAAAATGAACTCAGTTTCTACTCTCAAATGTATTTTTCCTCCTGTAGTCCCAGTTTAATTGGAATGTTATCATTCAAATGTTGCCTAAACAAGACATCTGGGAGTCATCTTAGCCTCTTCCCTCTTTGAGACTGTACGTGCTACTCGCTTTACC